TGCTATTGTGAACTAGATGCGTATATTTTCGTGTTTTGAAACTGAGTGGCAGAGTAGTGGACAGATGGATTGACGGTTGTATGGACAGATGAACTGCAACATAAGTACAGTACAATACACTGTCGAGTATCCTACGGTAATTCTGTCTTAAGAATAATTATTAGGTGTTCTTTGAACAAGCGAAAATGTGTCAATTCTTATTCACATCCACACAATAGGTCTACCATGTGTTGGAACTTCATACAGTGTCAGAATAAAACTACAATTTCCATTAATTTAGGTCTATTATCGGATTGACCAAATTCAGAACATCGACTAAATACGTGCATATCGCAATTTTATGCGTACAAATCTTCCCGTATATGATTTTGTGAATTTATACCCAATTCTTTTAGTGATAAAATTCAATATTCTCGCAAGATTTTACGAGGGACCAAACTTAAATTTGAAAATTTAGAATACCATTATGTGTGATTTAATACCCCGAAGTGCAGAATTTACTTAACTTCTGCTTAAAAAAGAGACCAAACCATCTGGCTTTCTTACGGATGCATGGAACGTAATGAACATGTATGTATGATAAATCGAGCTACAGAGATAAGGTCTTCTTCGCGCTAATTATAATACACCTCGGTACAAGAGAAACTAACTGCGTTACAGACTGCTCCGGAAAGTGGAACCCTACAACATTGTCTCGCTCGACGACTATCGCGCGTATATCGACTGGATCACGAAACAAAGTTTTCGTATTTAACGCGGTGTACTGGTTCTGTCCACGTGATGAGGTTTATTCGCCCGTATCTGGTTGCTGACTTAACTAGATTCTGATTAAAACAAGTAACAATTTATTGCAGGTTGCTGTGTTAACTTTTACATCCATGGATTCGAACTCTGGCGACGGAATTTCTGATTGGTATTTTAAAACTTCTGGTTTACTACCGTAGTGTGTTCAAATAAATAAAATCTTCTCATTATCCTTGTTATTCTTAGCTTTGTAGTCATGTTCAAAGGTGGGTTCACAGGCTTGTGGTATTTTAGCTTAGGATAGGGTCCGTTGGCGGGCGGAAGTACGTAAACGCTGTGATAAATTGTCGAGTTCCTCAAAAACAGGTAACTTCTTCACCTGCAGATAAACTGTCAACTTACTCGACTATCCTGTACCATATATTTCCGAACAATTTGACTACTTTCATGTTTACTTGGTGTTGTTTATTTATTCACATAAACGGTCTATAGGCAGTTTGTTACTGAATGAAAGGACAGGGACTGTGAAAAGCCATGAAAATTCTCATGCAATACATGCAATTACAGTAGCGAACTATTATAATAAAAGGTCAGATCTGAGACTTTCACGGCAACGATATTGAAGATGGCTGTCTTCTGGGATGTAGCACAGTGCAGTCAGTAAGATATTAACCGAAATTTCAGTGAAGCTGATGTCTGAGGAAGCAAGCGCCTCTGAAACATCCGTGACTGTATTCTGGAATACACTACACTGTGCCGAGTCCCTGAACAGTCGATCATATTTACTGTAAAGAAAATCATAGAGGCCTATTCACATATGAATAATCTGTATCCTCTACCGTATATATAGCCTATTAGTCTTACATAAAATATAAGTTGCTATACGCTTAGGGCTTATGCTACTTTAGAAGTTATTATTAAGCTTTTGTGGTCTTCCTACGGGTCTGATGAAATTGTCGTACTTTGGATTTGCAAGGACTGACCAGACAATGGACATGCTGACTTCACTTACTCAAACTTATGTCTTCAGAAGAACTTAAAGTTTCATAAAAAAATACAGGCCTGAACTCGGTATTAGGCGAACGCAGTATTTTGTGTAAGGAAACTTGATAAATAAATAAAAAATATATGCCTATGATACCCGCTGTCTATCATCCTCACGTCCACCATTTCCAGCATAAGGCTTGCATCAGTATGTCAGTGCAAAATTTCAAAATTAATTATGGTTTCAATGACACGTACAGGCCAGTATGACAAACGAATAACGTCACATCCGGAGAGACTGTCCTAGTCAGAATGAGGCAAGTTGTTGTATAAATTTGACACGGACCGCAAAATATAGGGTACGAGAGTAATCTAAAAACTTTATCTGCATTGACCAACACTTCGCAGTATGGAAATAAATGGATTTGCTTCATTGACGGAATACAATGATTTCTCAAATTAAAGAAATATTCTAGGCCTATAGCCGAACTTGGAAACAAGGAAATAAGAACGACCGACCAATTAGGCCGGAACAATTCAAGCTTCGGCCCAAATTCTGGACAATAATAGTACCATCGTCAAGGCTTAAGTAATTATACCAAGACTTACTATCCGATCTAAAAATTCGTTCATTGTAATGAATGTCATTACTGTTATTACTCCATACTGTTAGCCTGAAACCCATTAAGGAGAAAATGAACATACTTGTCATAAATCTAGGCCTATAGAATTCTGTAAGCGTTTTCCGGTAATTGAATCTGTGAATGAATGACGCCGTGCGACCCCTCATTCGGAAGCTAACGTCGCCGTGACGGTATCCTGAAAGTAAAAGTTTTGCGACCAGACTTACGAAAGGTGCGAAATTACGCTATTTCAGGTTACCATAGCAACGAGATTTCAGGCATTAACACGTAAGAACCTATTCTGCAGCGTTGTGTAACCTCTAGAGCCACGGACGAGCGAACATTAATTTGTAAATGTTGTTATTTTGTGTGAATAGGCCTATGTGAATATAAAGTTTATCATAAATTACGGATTAGTTTGTGGATTTAGAATACTTTCTGTTCTCAAATAGGCACTTAGAAATTACAGAAGCGTTTTTTGCTAATTGCAATTCTGAGTGAAAGGAAGGGTCTGCAAAAGTGTAATGAGCTCACGGGGTCGTCTACGTAGACGTTGCAAAATTCATCGACTTCAGGGCACAGACACTTTTGCGGCATAGTGTAAGTAGGGATAGCGCACAGCGCAGTGCACCTTGAGATCGTGGAATATCTGCTTCCACAGTGGCGATTTTATGAATGAAACGTGGGATCATTGCCAAGTCTTTCATTTGAACATTCTGCTGCTATTGTATGGCTTACTTCCCTCGACCACGACGCAATGATGAGTTTTAACTATGCGCTACGATATGTAAGATTTGAGGTTTTCACAGCGGTGAGTATGAAGATTTCTGTCTTCTGGGTTGTTACGATGTGTAGTCTGGTAGATGTTTACCAACGTTTCAGAGGTCATACTGCCTCCATCATCAGGGTGTCATCGCAACAACCCAGAAGACAGAAATCTTCGATCCTACAACAGTTGAAGGGCGTTCGAATCTTTCTCTGCAGACCAAAATCAGGGATTTTCATGTTTTTACAGCACCAGAATGGCTACATAGAAGTATTTCCGATTACTGCAGTTGATAACCAATTGTTACCTTAAAACAATTTTTACATAATGGATTATTCAGTAATTGTTGGAATGTGATTATGTTTCTGTGGAGCTGTGTATGTAACGCCCTTTGTCCAACCCCAAATGTTACATGAGTGAATATGGGGTAGCGGTGAAATGATACTGATAAGGAAAACCGAAGAACTGATTATAAGCTGTGTCAGTGCTATTTTGTCCACCACAAATCCCATGGGGAATGGCGTGGGCACAAACGCGGGACCTGACCGCCTGAGCTACGGCGCGGTCCGATTTATAAGGTGTTAATCGCATTTATAAGAACTTTAGCGAATACGATTATTTCTGTTCTATTAATGTTGATTATTTGATTGTGGGTGGTCATATGTGAAGTGCAGTTGGTTACCTATCGTAAATGTTAATTAGTTTGTAAAGGTACCTGATAGAAAAGTGAATTTACTCTGCAAAATGATTATCGGTGCGACAACTATACTCGCTATGACCAGACTTCAATTACAGCGACGTTCTTCAGACCGTGATTTGCTAGTTTATGTACGCACTGAGACACTTCGTCGTACTTTCGCTTATCAGGCTGCTCTATGGATCATATAAAGCTCGTTAATATAGAATGTGAATCAGTAATTTGAATTTTTGCTGGTCGCCAGCTCTATGCTTAAACGGGTGGGCGATATTATTATTTAATTCCTACCTATAATAATTATTATTATTTTATTACTAATATTATTGTGTCGGTATGTACTAGGCCCACAGGCCTACATCTACAGAATCAGTTAGGCTAAATGCACTGAAATTTTAATATTGTTAGGCCAGTAGCCTTCTTTTCGTAATAGGTTAATGTAGACTGACATGCGAACATCATCGTAAGATATTTAACTAATCACGATCAGTAGCCAGGCTCTCTGAAATAAAATACCGACCGGTTGAAGGCAGCACAGAGACTTTCGTTCGACGCGATTTCAGGAATGATGTTAAGAGTGATTCCTGCTCGTTTCGGGATGAGTGATGTCTATTCGTTTCCCGTTTGCATAGGGAAATCACACAGAAAATGAGATACGTGTTATTAATATTCTCGAAAATACTTTAATGCATGCATGATATCACATTCTAGAAGTGTTTTAGTTTTGTGACAGGGAACGTCACTCGCAAAGCCATCAACAAAATAATCCCGGTGACAAATTTTACGAAGAATTAAACAAATAAAAAGACGGATGCAAAATCTGAGTGGGTTACACTGTAAAGTGTAACTATTATAAGATCTTGTAAGACGGAAAGATTTTAATAGCTTTATGTAGCCGTGTTGTGAGACGGACAGTCGCTGTCCCTTTCTGCATAGTATTGTTTGACTTACGTTGATTCCACGGCGTACCGCAAAAATTTATAACGCGTCTTAGATTGGAAATTGCTGACAAGAAATTTGTTTTTAAGAACAAGCAAGCTTATAAATAAACTTTCTTCTTCCTATGCGTCATAAATGTGCATTTTCATGACGAGAATTAATTCTTTCTGGTCATCCTGCTTTTGAAACTGTGCACGACGGACACTAGGTCTTGCGTACGTAACGAGAACTTGATGGAATTCGCACTCACCTGTTTTTAGCGGCAGCCGCGCGATCCCTCTGCCGGCGATTCTTGAACCAGTTGCCGACCTGAGTCGGTGTGAGTCCCGTTGCCTGCGCTAACTCCCGCTTCTTCGTGGGATTAGGGTACGGGTCCTGCAGGTACCATTCCCTAAGCAGACTCCTGGTTCTCTCCTTGAAACAGTGTGTCTTCTGCTCGCCGTCCCAGATCGTCCTGGGCAGTGGGAACTTCTTGCGAACTCTGTACTTATCCACTGGCCCTAAAGGACGTCCTCTCAGTTTCTCGGCTTCTTGGTAATGCGCCTCTAACCACATCGCCTGTAATTTTCCGTGTGACTCTTTCGTGAACTTATGGTGTTCTAATATGGTGTACATATCTCTGAAATTGCCGCTGTGAAAGGACACTATGGCCCTCGCCCGCAGCACGGCTTCGTTTTTATTGAGTTCCGAGATGTTCGGGTGCGCCACGGGAAGCGACCAGAGGAATCGTGCAAGCCTCTCGATATCACCACTTTCTTCCAGCGTCTCGCACACGGCGGCCACTTGCGAGACCGTGAAATTCAGCGTCGGTAATGCGAACATGGGGCTCGGTATAATGGGTGGGGGCGGCGGGA